AAAAAAAACAAACAAAAAAAAACATGAAGCAACTTGCTTCCAGCATATATCCACACAAAACCCAGCTCCATTCATGTTTGATCCTCTGACCTGTATTTGATCTTTGTGTGACCTGGAAGATCTCGGCTGGAATACTGCTTGGACAAGGCACTCAAATCACCTTCTCCTTTCCCCCTCCCTCCTCTTGCCGGCTCAAACGTTGGTCTTGCAGCTGTAGTCATCTTTGATGGCTTGCTGTGGCAAGACGTGAAGGGAAGAAAATATGAGATAAACCAGACCAGTGCAAGAAGCAGTACAGATAACAGCTACAAAGCTACAAACAGGGGGCCCTGCCATAATAACAAGTCAACCTGTTTAGAATTCAGTTTTACACTTCTTTTATGTGTTTTAACTAGATGTTAAATTGAGGCAGGATTTTTTTGGGGGCACACTAACACTTCAATGTCATCTGGGAATGCCCAACATCACTACATCTGTCTTCACAAATCTATCTATTCTCACAATTGTTGATTTTGCAAGCTTGCAGATGGCAGTCAAAAGGCACAGATGGCATGGATAGATGACAGAAAATGACACAGAGCCTCATTTTGTTTCATAACAATGCAAAGTGATCTGATTTCCTGCTTAAATAACAAGCGTGTGGACTCTACATCGTGAGATACCATAGGCCTGCTTGACACAAAGAAAACTGTTGAATAAAGAACGCTGGCAAGTTAAACTGAAGAGCTAGTGAACACGATTTGAGGACAAGATCTGAGCACTTTGAATAACACAACAGCTGCTTAAGTTTGTTTCCTCATTTCGGAGCAATAACATTAATAACTGTGTATATTGTAATACTATCCTTTACTGAAATTATTAAAAAAAACACAATATCAATTACTACTCCTGTACTGGCAACCAAACACCACCATTCCTAGATCTGATACTGCTGCACAAGAGAATGCAAGTTTTATTGTCAACAGGTGGTTGTTTTGCACACTGACACCTTAGGAGAAGATAATTGTCAGTGTAGATGAAATGATTTATGACAGTCTGTCAAATGACACCAATCATAGGCCTACTCTATAAATGGTTTCAGTGATTGAAATATAGGCTTTTGTGTGTAGAACTTTTTAGCCTGTCACTGCCTGTCCCCACCATATCTAAAATGCCAATTTAAACCCCATTTTTAACACAACTGTCTTCATGGAGGCTCAGCAGGATCCGCTGCCAACAGCCTTTAAAACAAAAACTAGCTGCAGGAGACATAATAATATAGGTAAACATTTACAAAATATCTTGGTAGTGTAGTAATATAACTGCGTAGATGATCAGCATTTACGATTCAATAATGGCATTTGAGAGGCAACTGAATAAAGACTAAAGCTACTGACATCGCCAATTTTCCACCTGTAATAAATTAGAATTCAATCGTCAAACAATAAACAGCGACATGCACAGCGACATAATACATCTGCCAACACAAAGTTAATGCATGATGATTATATTAGTAAGTCTTTGTGAGACATATACTAAGATTACATAAATACGTTGTCACTGGTTACTGATGGAGAGCAAAGCACAAGCTAACCAGTTAGCCGCCACCGCTAATAAGTTGCTAACAGGCTAACCTGGTCTATCAACGGTGTTAAGGTGGGGGGAAAAAAACGCTATTTCACTTCCCTGGTCGACTGTGTACAGTTTGAGATTAACACCAAATACTGCAGAGAGTTATAATGCTAAATTAAAACTAAAACTCAAATTAACAACAATTTAGAAAACAATTTTAAAACAACAACACTTACGAAGCTGCTACCACACGACAAAAGGAAGCGCCAGCTAGTAACGTCACTACCGGAATGAACCACGTGGGGAAAAGATGCGTTCACAAACACTCGGAGAAAACATCCGTCCTTAGAATATCAGACGTAAGTGATTTTAACACTGCATTTAGGTTATACTCCGCAGAACAGTGTTGATGTGATCAGGATATATATGTACTTTTAAACAAATATTCTACAGTCTGTCAACATTTTATCAGGGAGACCACCTTTACTCATAGGATGAGAACAAACTGCACACCTTCACCATTATGTGCAGTGTTGCAGTGGAGAAGATAGGGGGCAGATAATATCAGGTGATGCATCAAAACTCAGTCTGACTTTAATGTTCATTTAACAGTTCTTACTTGTCCCTGATTACTTTTTTAAGGACAGTACTTTAAGTTCCTCCATGTCTGCAAGTTTTTACTTTATGTATGCAGCACAATGAGTTTAAAACTGCTCTAGTTTAGTTGAGCATATCGTACTATGGCTCTGCAGGTGATCATTTCAGTGTTGTGTTTATTACATGATCATAGGATGGTGTGCAGGATGGTATGATTCTGCAGACCTTGAAATCACAAACCATGTTTGGACTGCATTGTAAACCTGACTGCCAGTTGTTCAACATTGTATTAGGTTTCTCCACTATGAGCAAGTTGTGCTGTGCGGATGCAGCACACGCAGGTGGAGAGAGGCTGGGGGCAAAGTAAAGCAATTTTCCATGGAGTTTGATTGACAAAATTATTATTATTTTTTTTAATTAAAGCACATGAATGCCTGAAGATAAGGTCTCAAAATATCAACTTTTCAAAAGCAGCTTTTACAACTAACATGAAAATAAATGTTGGTGCAAAAATACTCAAACCAAAATGACCACAGAAAAACAAGGCTGTAAAGCTGCCAGTAACTGTAAACTTTATTGCCCTCAAGGAGACATTTGTTTTTCATCCAGATGAACCCCATAACACACACACACACACTTCTATATAGCAGACATAAATTGTGATTAAAATACAAGTTAAACACAAAAGTTGATCAAAACAGAACACTGACTAGATTTACGTCTTTACACATATACATGTTTGTCCCCTTTTCTCCTTGGCCTCTTTAATGTGCATGCCGTGCATTGTAGTGACACAGTTAAGTTCAGAATGTACCCTCTTTCTGAACAGAATGTAACCATGTCATTCATCACGCAGATGATCCCCGTCTTGTTTTGATACTCTACTTCAGGATTACTAGGAATTTTTACTGAAAATGTTGGCTGGTGTTCAAGGAGGCAAACCAACAGAGGAGGTTCTGCTGGATTCCACACAACTTTTAAATATTATGTGTCTAAAAGGTCGTATTTCACTGAGTTAAGTGTAAATCATCCTACAGCCAGAGTAAAAAATTAGAAAAAGGTGACACAATGCAAAGTTTCTGCCAGAAAAAACTAACTTTGTAGACAATGATTATGATTTCCTGCTAGTTAGAGAAAGCTGCAGTTAGCAAAGATGTGTTATTGCTTTTTCCTTTTTCCCTGCATATTTAAAGTGTCTTCTGACCCAAATTATTTACAAAAAAAACAATCTCTCACTTAACTCTTGCTGTATTAAGATAAGCAGATAGTTTGGGTTTTATTTGCTTAGAGTTTTAATTATTTGTCTGTAAGATTTTAGCCACCATGCCAAAAAAAAAAGGGGGAAAAATCCAGTGGACATAAATGGATTGTGGTGCTTAGAGACTTGAAATCTGCATTTACAAAAATGATGGGTCACTTCTCTTATCAGAGTCTCGTTAGACCACACGGTATCTATTCCAGTTGATTAAAACGTAAAATGACAGAGGCTGGTTTTGTTGGTGTGTCTGTTTCAGTTTACAGCTGAGAATGCACGTAACGCCTGAATGCCTTTAAATGACAATAAAAGGGTTTGATAAACTGGTAGATTAAATCCCCAGGAGTTTATGATCAGGTCTCTCTTGATTCCTAGCATCTCCTCAACTGGAACAGCGTGTTTATGACAGAATGCTACTATTGGGAGCCAAGATTAAAACGTAATTAAAAGGTTCCTTATGAAATGTTTTCTGCCAGTGAGGTGCAGGGTTTTATAATCAAGGAGAAGAACAGCACCAGGGTTGGTTTGAATGGTGTCACACAGATGAGAAGAGCAGCAAGAACAATGCATGAAATAGTTTTATTTTCATTTGGTTATCAGGAAGGAGTGTTTGTGAAAATGCTAAAAAAAAAAAAACAATCTCTGGAATGTGGTATTTCACAGCTGCTGGAACATGAAACTACAACAACAACAACGCTGCCTTCCTGTCCACTCCATAATTGTCATGATAAGTAAGTGGCCCTCCCACTCGATCAGCCTGTGTCTCAGCATCCAGGTGCAGCGTTTCTACTAACAGGGAGGGCGGAATACGTGATGGCAGGGGGCGGGAGCTCAGGTTGAAGTATCTCTACCTGCCCTGCCTGCGCGGGACACAGACCCGGAGGAGGCTCGACATTCAGATAGCGCTGACAACGCAGCTGACTCGAACAGGTGAGCGCACAATATGGCACAAGGGTGGACTTCACACCAGTTCTGATTTCACGCTCACTGAATATGCACTGTAAGGGCTCATTACAAAGTCAGAACTGCCTTCATTTTCTATGCATAATGAATGTGACCCGGTTAATTGGTGCTGGCACGTCCCCAGAAAGATTCAGCATTGGAGATTAAAACACTAAGTGCAGGTCAAAATGTTAACAGGGGCTCAAAGAGAATGCAGAAAATATGCACGGTGTGACAAGAAATGGCACTTTAAACGCAGACTGGGTTAAAAATTCACCGAGATAGTGAATGCTGGGAGCAATGAGATTTTAACAAAGCAGGTTTTAGTTTAGAATAAAACGTTACGAGTAATTACTTTTGTATTTCAACAGAACACAACCGGACGGATTTGTTAATGACAAACAAACAAAATACCTGAATGTCACTTTTACACGATGAGTGAGTTGTTTTTGTGCAGAATGCAGTTTTACAGGTTGTGATGATAGGTCATTAAACAGTCACCAGTGGGAATGCGAAGAGAGTTTGACATAGCAATACACAGACATCAAGACAGCAAAGCCAAAAAATAAATACATAAATCAACCTGGAACATACTTTAACTTCCTTTTAATGACACATTTGTTGCAGGTTGAACATCTGAGGAAACATCTGCATCATGTCAAAAGGCAAGTCGTGCAATATTTCATCCATGTAGGAGATTAAATATGAAAATGTTCTTGGTATCCAGCGTTGATAAAAAACGTGTGCATGTGTGTTGTAGATGTTGACAGAAACCAGGTGTTAAAAACCACCAGAGTGCGAACTTCATTGAAGAATGACGGCAGCTGGATCCACAAATCAAAAGAAGACAAGGAGGAACAAGACAAAGAGGGGTATTCACACACATTTAAACGCAACATCAAAAACAGAGCTTTCATTTACACCGGTAATTGAAGCTGTCCTGCTTTGTTGCGTCTTGGTAGTAAAACAGTAGTCGTTGGTGTGCATCCTCAGAAATCAACATAAAAGCAGCGGGGCTCTGTTTAGTATTCTTTTTAAATAGTCCCACATTATAAGCACTGCTATGTAAGAAAAAATCAAATAAACATGCTGCACATTCTCCACTTCTTGTGTCTTGCAGGACGTTTCAGACCGTGGAAGCCAAACGAGTTCCAGTCAGACAGAGTTCATACGTCCTGCTGACAGCCAAGAGATTTGAGTGAGTGCACCAACATAATGGTTATCAGGAATTATTTTCAAAAGGACAAAAGCTGTTACTGAATATTTAAGTTCCTTAGAAAACCTTGATTCAATTTCATTAGATTTTTATATACACTTTGAACATGATCATGTGGTGTTTTTTATAAGCTGGAAGGCACATCATGAGTGAAATAAGCATTCAGCACCACGACTGAGCATTTTTAAGCCTTGCCACTGCAGTGTACCGATGACAGTCTCATGAAGGCGGAGTCACAGACGTGGTTCCGCACAAATCAAACAATAAAGGAATCAATCCTGACACTTTGCGGGGTGGAGCTTTCTCTATCGTTCTTCTTTTTCAACATACAAGGAATTTGGTTCCAGCTGTTGGTGTCGCCCTAGGAATGAGCGAGGAAAAGAATAACAATAAAGTAAAATAACTATAGAAAGGAAAAAATTAAAATAAAATAAATAATAATAATAAAAAATAAAATAAGATGATATATACAAGAATATACACATCTAGCAGAAAAAAAATATATGTACAGTGGCGCAAAAAAATGGCAGTGAAAATTACAATGTAAGAATGGCTCAGCTGTTCAGTACAGTTATGGCAGTGGGATAAAAACTATGTCTGGTAGGTTTTCTATGCAGGACTCTGTATCGCCTGCTGGAGGGGAGAACAGTTTATGACCAGGATGAGTGGGATCTACAGTGATGTTCCTGCACTCTTCCTGGTTCTATTGGAGTACTTTTTTTCTTCTTCTTTTGAATAGATGTCCGGTTCAAACAGGTTTTACGATTTGCCAATTTGTCGAGTAGTTTAACAGCGTTGGAGCGGAGTTGCAGGTGAGCTGGTGTGCTCCAGCTGCAGTGACGGACAGAGGAGTGGGTGTAGACAGAGGCAGACCTCATAAAGCTGCACATTGTAGGAAAGAAACAGTGCAAAGTTCCGTCTAAGTCATTTAAGGGCAGGAAGGGATTCATTTCACGAAGAAAACTTTTAAATATGTTACTAATACACAGAGATGAGTTTTTGGGGGTTTAATCAGTGACCAGAGAGGGAATCTGAGGATCTGACAGATGAAACCACAGTCAATGTGCTGCTTGGACCTGTTTTAATCCGAGCAACGAGGTGATGGAAGCTCTGCAAGTCAAACTGAAATTGTCCTTTGACTCTGCTGTGTTAGTGAATAATAACTAAACATATTCCAGGCTTCAGGCACAAATCACCATCTGTGATATTAACATACATAAACATTAACTTAGCCCCGAGCAGCTCGGCTGTTTCCATAAAGACCTTCAGCCCGCTGCAGTCTGACCTGTGCTTTAGCTGGCTGATCAGGCATTAATCTGAATACGATTCTTAGCGGAGAACTTCCCCTCAAGGAACACCTGAATATTTGCACTTAAATACTGTGGCAAAAGCTACTAATGGCTAGCATAAAATATGAATCCCCAGTTTGACTTGTGTATGCAAATATCTCACCAGCCTTAAATATTTAGCGATCACGATATTGTGCAATAAACTAATATGATTGATTTGGTGAGCAAACAAAAGGCAGAGCATGAAAAGTGCTGATCTGTAGAATGCTATTCAACCATCATAAAGAATTAAAGCCACGTGCAGACTTATCTACTTTATGGAGTCAACAGACTGTAACAACATTCTGATCTGTTTACACACAAACTCCAACTATTACTGGATACACTAATTCCTGGGTATTGTTGGCAAATGTACCTCTTGCATTGATATTACATCACTCGACTTGCACGCGTACAGGACACGCTCACGGGCACGAGTACGACCCTGCTGAGTAAATTATTAAACTTCAGGACAAATATGTGCTGCAAATATATTTCAAAAAAAATATCTTTATTCTGGACTTTTATCCCTGAGATCATGTTGTAAGGTCCATTCCTCTGTGTGAATACAAATCAGCACACATTTGAACACAATTATTCATACAGACACTCCTCCCTAATGAATGAAAGGACTCAACTTTCCTCAGTAGTTTGAAGATATTTTTGACATAAAATAAATTATTTTTGTCCATCTAATAACCAAGAACGTTCACAATATTTCAGCAAAGGAACAACAGATTCACAACATGGAGCTAGCAGTTTCAAAAACATGATGTAATTTCCCTTTTGTTTAAAAACAAAAAACATTGTTTATTCCTCTATTTCCAGTGGTCCACAGCAGGGCTTGAACACAACAAATGAGAAATTATTTACAGGTTTTATGAATGAACGTTTTTGGAAAATCTTCTGAATGGACGCTGAACCAACTGACATCGTCCCAGATCAGGTCTCAGTTCCTATAATTATGGGCAGTGACGATGTGGCTAAGTTTTCCATCTTTCCGTTCATCTTTGGCGATATGTTCAGGACAATCAGGTGCATTTCATACGTTTATCATTTAAACATGTCAGCTGAATTTATAAAAAATTACAGAGTATATCCTGCAGACTCTTAGGCTACAGCCACACCAATAGGTTTACATAAAAAATGCAGTTTAAACTAAAAACAATCTGTGTCCAGACAGGTGTTTTAGTATAAGTTCAGAAATAATCTTCACAAAGCGCACATCACATGACCACTCACTGGGCATACGGGTGCAGAGATAAACATGAAGCAGGAAGCTGGTGGAGGAGTAGGTGGAAGAAAATACGAGGCTAAAGAAAAGCAATAATGTAAAGTAAAACCACAGATTTCCTTATTTGCTGCGAGCATCAACAACACGATCAGCAGTACCTATAATTAGTTTTTCATGTTGAACTACTTGCTGGTAATCCAGCCTGATATCTTTGTTTTTCTTTCAGGAAACAGTCATATGATAGGAATGTGATGAGGGAACAAGGTGTAGTAACAGCAAAGGTCCAGAAAGTTAGCATGGTCTCTGTGACTACGTTCTTGCCTGTCTGGATGACAACACAACCCGAGAGTTTTCAAACCGAAGTAGGTCAGCAGCATTTTTAAAAGTCTCCTTTACAGGAGTAGAACTCCAGACTAGTGGGATTCACCAGGTGTCAATGTTGTAACGGTTATGCATTTTAAAACATAAACATATTGGTGTGGACGTAGCCCTAATGTTGGGGATCCACTAAAACTAAAACCGTGATTAACTCAGCTAGCTGAATGGCCCTCAGTGTCACACACCGAGTTTACACGCAGTTGTTTCAAATATTTTTTGCTTGTGATGCTTTAAAATGAAATAACATCTACTTGAGTGTTTTAGTTTAATTTGAACGATTTGGCATCCAACACTTCATAAGAACAGGGGACATTTTAAGAACACCCACAGATAATTCTATGTAACATAAATGCAGCCTTTACTTTTCTTTGTAACGGCATTAAAAATCTTCTGACTCCTTTTAATTTATCTTGGGACCCCCACCCGTTGGGAGCCACTGTTGTGCAGCATTCAAACATTATTACTCAATTAATAAATCTGAGCACACGTTGACAAGTAATTAATATCAACACACCCCTTTCTTCTGGCGAGCTGACACACTGAGCTCTCTGCAGGGAGGCCGGGGGAAGGTTGTGCACGATACTCAAACAGGGGCGCTCATTCCACTCCTGTCACTCACTATTTCAAACGGCAGACCTGGCCCGTGTTCATTTAGGTTTTGCTGAATTATGAAGTCAATCACTCTTTCCTCAAACGTACTGACAGTTTCATACGACAGCAGTGAGTTAAGAGGAGGGTTCAGCTGCTGTGAGGTCTCCAGCGGTGTGCACCCCCTGAGCTGATGTGGACAAGGAGGGTCCAGCTGCTGCATCGATGCCGTGCGGTGGCATAAAATGACCCTCATTGATGGCAAAGTGGTTCAGCGGGTAGATGCCACATTTCCTAAAGCCTTCCCTCACAATTCCAACACCTTCCTCCTCTTTCGCTACCTGATACGTCCCTTTAAATACACCTGAAAACTCCTTCTTGCTGAGTGCAAAGTGGGTGTCAGTGGTGCAGCCGTCGCCTATGAGTGATGCAAAACGCTGCTTCAGGACCAAGAAGAGACCAGCGTCGAGGGGCTGCAGGATGTGAGAGCAATGAGGCGGAAGGCACAGAAGAATGACGTCCTCCTTACGAGCTGACTCCACCACCTCCAGGTTCACAGGAGACTTATGGCCGTCGAAAATCAGCAGCAATGGTCGCTCCTTTGGCGCGTGCACGAGAAAGTGTTTGAGGAACCATTTCTTAAAGAGGTCCGAGTTGATACATCCCGAATCTGACCACCCATAAAGGGCATTTGGTGGCCCTTGTGTCTTGTAACATACTCCCCCTGGATAGGCCTTTGAGTAGATAATAAATGGGGGAATGTCCTCTCCAGCTGCGCTAAAGCAAGCCAGGACGGAGATGTGGTCCCTGGAGCCTGGTGCTGGCTTGTAGCCCAGACTGGCCGATTTGGGGAGAATTACCCTCTTCCTGCCCAGCTGAAAGCCCGTCTCATTGCAGTTAAAGATTTGGTGAGGCTTGTCTCTCAGCCCGTGAGCATCTACAACGGTGCTCAGCAGGTGAAAAAACTGATCCACTGCTTCCTTCCTCACACACACTGTCCTCCCACGGACAACATTGTCTGCCGGCTGAATAGTAATATTCTTTTCTTGTCGCTTTCTAAAATTGAGCCACCAGGTCTGGCCCAGTTTGGAAAATGCCACCCTCCGGTGCTGCCGCTTATAAATCGACGATGCAAAGGACACCAGCTGCTGCTTAGTAAGTGGAAATCCATGCTTGGACATGTATAAGGAGAACTCGACCAACAGCTCCTCATCTGCAGATGTTATGAGCTGAGCTGGCCCGCTGCGACTCCCTGGTGTGACCCGGCCGCTGACTCTGTCCCCCAGTGAAGATTTAGGGACTCCGAACTCTTTGGCAGCCTGCCTCACCGTGCACCGTCCTGACTTCACCTCTATCAGTGCTCGCTCCATGGCCTCCTCGGTCCATTTCTTCTTTTTTTTCCTGCCGATTTTGTCAAGATGATTTCTCGATGGCATTTTTTTCCTAGGACAGAGCAGGAGATGCAGGCATGAATGATGCATTGAAAAATTTGATGACAAGAAATGTTCATTTTAAGTAGCATAACAAACTCAAAACCAGCGAAAGCCAAAAATGCATTCTTAATAATGATAATACCGAACATAATATGCATGCTTTCAACTTGCTACAAATGAACCGCAAACAACTCTGTTTTATTTGTTGTTGCTTTCAAATGCAACGCTCCAGCATTCATTATCACTGCGCAGACTGATTTAAAAAGTTGAAGCTGGGGTCTGATTTGTTAGTCAATGGGGACTCTAAATTAAATTTGAATCAGCATTTCCTCTGTCCTGTTTACTTAAATGGAAAGGCAAGATGTGGTTTTACATCCTGCTTCAGATCTGTGAAACTTTAAGAAGAAGAAAAAAGCAGATCTGACTTTAGTTTTTCTTTTTAGTTTCCATCCAGAACTCATAAAACATGACATGATTGAAAATCTTCAGGTTTCCTTCATAGACTATGTATGGACGTAAACAAATAGAACAATATGATTTAAGTCGTTCACAAGGCCTAAAACATTCTTTATTCTCTCCAAATGTTATCTTGTATGTTTTGGAGGAGCCTTGATATACTAAACATGTAGGATAAAGTTACAAATGTGCCAAAAACTAATGGTGGAAATTAATAGCAATTGTCTCTGTATTATCTTACCCGCTCTGTGCTCCACATTATAACCCATCCAGTCCTTTTTACAGGTTAAAATAGCTTTAAAAGACCAATTTAACTTAGATCATGCAGTTTTCCACTTGCCAAAAAGCAACCGCAGCTCTTGTCCAAAGTGTTATTCATGTATAACAATCACCTTATTTAATTTATGAGGGTTATCTTTAAAGATCAAGATTAACACCTAATGTCAAGGCTGGTTTGCACAGTTTCTATGTGTGTACAGCTGCTTTTATCTCAATCAAACAGTCATAATGTGCAAATACACAGAACTTTATGTCTGCGGTTATAGCAACAAATGTGAAGGCGAGAACATTTAGGATGATTATAGACATTATTATAGTAGTGTTTGATGTTTGGTATGTCTAATATCTTTGTATTGTATTTAACAGGATTTACAATGGGGGTTTACATATAAGATATCTCTTTTTCAATTACCCTTTGGGCTGTAAACTTGAATTCAAGTCATTTACATGCATTAAAAACATTACAGTCACAGTGCAGGGGCTTTAGTCAAGTGGAAAACTGCATCATATGAGTTCAACTGGTTATTTTAAGCTATTTCAACTGCTTAAAGCTGGTTAACATAGGACACACAGCAGGCTTATTTAGCTCTTTAAATGTCTCTGTGCATACATTTACTGTTTTAGTCAAAGCTGTCCTCGTAAAAAGGTAAAAAATACTGTCTGACTTACTGGTTTTGGAGGGTCTTCGCACTATGTTCTAGACTGAAGTCAACTCCTCCTGTGCTGCTGCTTGAGCCGCCTCACAGCGTTACACTTTCTAAACTACTATATTGTGAATTTCTGGTGTTTTTTATTATTATTTTTTAGAGAAAACTACATTTAAAAACAACACAAGTGTCAGTGTTTGTTCTGCAGCCGACGCTACATGTCTGTGGGTTACACAAACGTAAAAACTACGCTTTTACAACAGCACTCAGTTCGCCGGTTAGCATGGAACTGCGGCTACATGAAGGTAGCAGGACACCGCGGAACTACACGAGAGCCCAGTGACCGGGACTTCAAAGTAAAAGCTCAAAAACCCCGGTTAGCAAAATAAGAGTTCAACTCTGCAAATACACATCAAGAAACCGCAGCACAGTGCTCAAATATTGCAGTTTTTTTTGCAGTGACATAGATGATTTGAAATTAAGAAAAAATAATCTGAAGTTTATGCAAAACATAGTTTATGTGTGTCCAAACAGTTGCTATTTCCAGCTTTGGTTTGTGCTGTATATTTTTATATTTTAACCATATTAAATATTTATGTATTGAGTAAAGATAGACAAATATGTTTTGTTTTTTTCAGGGCTGATATATTAGTAATCGTGGAGAACGATGGCTTATTTTTTAAACTAATGTGCGTGAAGTTAAAAAAAACAACAACCTTGGTTTGAACATTTAAAATAACACTAAAGCAATTACCACAACATTTTGTTGACATGCCTTTGTTTATTGATGTTTTACACATACCTAATTAACCTTCCTATTATCCTGAATGTTTAACATCTCTAAATAAGTCATTGGCATATTTTTTTCAGTTTTATTTAAAGAGCTATTTACACATAAACTTGGGTAAAAATTGTAGTTATGATATTTTCTGGAGGTTTAAATTGCTGGTTCAAATTGAACCCAAGGATAAAAGATGTCAGTGAATTTGAAGGTAATAGGACGGTTAAAAGAAACTTCTTAATAGTTGCCCTATAGTTAGTAACCACTCAGATAGTGCTGTGGGTGGCAGCAGAGAGGCAGCTGCATCAGAGACAAAGAAGCACATTTTTAAGTGTATTCATTTACAGGGATTGATATATATATACATATAAACATAAAAAAAAAAAAAATTATACTGATTATTAGAAGAAAACTCGATAATCTGCCAGTCTGATAATCTGCTGAATTCCAATATAGAGCATATAATTCAAAAGCATTTAGATACACTGTTACCAATTTTCCTGTAAAATTACAATCAAAAATACTGGCAGCTGTGGTCCCGGGTATTTTATTGTATTTTTAAGGTGTCACAATAATTTTTTATTTAATTGCCATAAAATTTAGTGCTGCATTCTACTGCATAACTGTTCACACCATCAGTTTTTACAGTAACCTGCTGTTAAGGGTTGTTTGAGGCGCCAAAAAGCATCAGATTTTGCAGTTTTTAAATCCACATTTTTGGAAAACCTGTACATGACACTACTGTTAGCTGTATTTTTACAAAAAAATAAAATAAAATCAGTGTAATTTTTCAGAATAGACATAAACAAATGTGACAAATATGTATACATTTGCGTTATGGATGTCTGACATGAGTTGGGGGCAGCCCCCCAAAAAAACATTCTGAATCATTAGCTCACGTCACTTAACAACGTGTGACATGCTGCACTGTCAGTGGGCAACCTACGGGTGGACTGTGACATTGCAGCGCGTAGTACATACTCCCACAAATCAAGACTTACATCAATATCAGTTAACTCTAGTCCAAGTTTGTGTGCCCCTCTTCTATTAGCAGCCTCTAGTCTCACTTCACTGTAATGTGTCTGCAGATATTTCCATCGTTAATAAACATTGTGTTGACATTTAAGGCTCTATTTGTCAGCTTCGTTTCATCAGTCACTGAGCTCACATGGTCGTGATGCTCATCTTCCAAAGCAGGCCAGCCTTGTTACGTAATAATACTTGAGCAGATTATAAATGAACCTCTTGCTTATATAAAAGAGGAACAGAGATATTCCGAAATTACCATAAATTGCTGATAAGGGTGTATCAAAAAGAGCAATAATCATCCTAATATGGAGTAATTTTGCTTTTAAAAAAAAATCTAAAGTTGTTGAAAGCTGATGAAATCTTTCATTGGGACTTAACAAGAAATTAGTAAGATATGATATAAGGCTATAAATGCAAAAATTCTCTTCCAAGTGTGTTTCTTTTTCTTACCCTGTAGATCAATAGATTCGTCACTGAGTCCTCCTCTTCAAAAGACAGAGGTCATTCCATCTGAAGGGTATGTATGTACTGAATTTTAATTCCAAATAAAATGTGCACAGTGTGAGCAACTACTCACTGCTCCTCTGCAAATCTACATATTTCAAGGTTTGCATGACTGATCTCAGTTAAATCTAAACATTTAAACCAAATATTGAATGACAGAGCCAGGTGTATGTATTGTGCAGGTGTTATTTTATTATTATTTTTTTCTGTTCTTTGTATAGTGATTCAGCACCTCAGGCAAATGGTGATGTTATTCCTGCCAAAAAAGATGCTCAGCCTGAGGGGTCAACAGTGGAGACCACAGGCGATACAAAGTTAGTATATGAGAGCATCTCTCTAAAGACTGTAACTGCGAGCATGAAATTTAATGATGCTGAGGGAATGCGTTTTTGTTCATATGTCTTTTCTGCATAGCTGGGAATAAGTAACGCCCTCTATTACAGGCCTCAAGCTGTCGTAGAGGAACTTCAAAACAGTCAGGCAGAACTAGAGAAATCAGCTGCCGACACAACTACAGAAAACAAGGAGGAATGTGCTGAAACACCAGTTGACAAGTCAAAGGTGGAACACACTGAGGCAGCCGCTGAGGCCTCTGCAGATGTTCATGTGGAAGAAAATATCCAGCCGGTTTCTTCAGCAGAGGAAAATCCAGAGACAGTGTCTCCTGTGGTGACAGATGATCAACCACTTACCAACACAACTGCAGAAAACAAGGAAGAACAAGCTGATCCGTCAATCATAGATCACAGTGAGGCCGTGATCTCTGCCGATGCTAATGTGGAAAACCCTGCTGCAGAAATCTCTGCTGTTACAGACGCAGCTGAGAGTAAAAGCACTGCTGAGGTCCCTGCTGCACTCATACTCGAAGCGAAACCTCAAGAGGAATCTTTAATTAAAACAGAGCCAGCAACTGCAACAAATTTGGAGGATGCAGGAGCAGAAATAAGTGTACAACCTACAGAGGGGGGTAGTGAGAAGAGTCCTCCAGAGCAGACCACAGGAGAAGCTGTTGCAGCTGCAGCTAATTTGATGGTGAAGTCATTGTCTGAGACCACTGATGTGACTAATGCAACACCAGGAGAAGTCAGTGAGGAATCAGTCCCTGACTTACTGCTTGAATCTATAACCAAGTCACCTACTCAGCCTGCTGCTGAGGCTACTACAGAGGTTAGCTTTGAGATAAGTCCTCCAGCGCAATTTACAGATGAAGCTGTTGAAGCTGCAGCTGAGGTTACGGTGGAGGAGATCCCTGAAAATCCTTATGTAAATAATGCAACACAACTGGAAGAAGCTGCTGTGCAGAACAGTGTGCAACCATGTCCTGATGTTCCATCCGAACCACCTGCTCAACCTGCTGCTCAAACTGCTACAGAAGAGAACTGTGAGAAATGTCCTTCAGAACAAGGTGCACAAGAAATAGTTGATGCTGTAGCTGAGGTTTTGGTGGAGACATTGCCTGAAAGCCCTGCTGTAAACAATGCAACACCAGAGGAAGAAGCAGCTCCACCAAACAGTGTGCAACCAGTCCCTGATAATCTGTCTGAATCACCCACTTATCTGCCCACTGAAACTACAACAGAGGAGAGTGGTGAGAAATGTCCTCCAGAACAAGATACAAAAGAAATAGCTGAGGCCGTAGCTGAGGCTGTGGCGGAGACATTGCCTGAGACTGTAAATAATGCAGCACCAGAAGAGGAAGCTGCTCTACAAAGCAACGTGCAACCAGTCCCTGATACGGAATCTGAATCACCCACTCATCCCTCTGCCGAAGCTACTACAGAGGGGAGTAGTGAGGAAGCTGCTCCACAAACCAGAGTGCAACAAGTCTCTGATACTCTATCCAAACCGCCTACACAACCTGCTGCTGAAACTACAACAGAAGACAACTGTGAGAATTGTCCTGCAGACCAAGGTGCACAAGAAACTGTTGGCGCTGTAGCTGAAGTTGTGGTAGAGGCATTGCTTGAGGCCCCTGCTGTAAACAATGCAACACCAGAAGAAGAGGCCGCTGCACAACCGGTCCCTGAACCACCTACTCAGCCTGCTGCTGACGCTGTTGTCAAGTCCGTAGAGCGTCAAGCCGAGTCTGCAGCCGTTGAAGAACCAGTTTTAAAGATCACAACTGAAGAGGCGGTTGAGTGTGCAGTCAACACTGCTGTTGAACAAAGTGCTGAGCCGACACCTCAAAGCACAGCAGAACATGTGGCAGAGCTGAACGTTGAAGATGCTGTTAAACCTGCAGCTGCTCCAGAAGCCGAAGCTGTTTATGAGGATTTAGCTGCCAGAGTTATTGAACTGACAGATGCACTAGATGTGGAGCCACCCGCAGCTGAAACTGTTCCTAAACCTGTGGAAGATCCACAACCATCCCACTCAGAGGAGACCAAAGTGATCCAACAGTGTGATGATGCCAACACGTGAGTAAGCTTATGCAAAGCAGAATGACGTCTTAGTCAGTGTTGTTTATATATTAGTCACATATTGTCACTTGAGCAATAAAATGCATCTTATTGTTGGCTGATTTTTCGTAGTTCTGAAGTTTTTCAAAAGCCTGCAGAGGAGCCAAACTCTACACAAACTCTGAAAAAGTCTGGGTATGTGTCTCATATCTCACTTTAAAGACCACATCATTTGTAATTTCAAACTTCACATAAAATAAGAGGGACACGCTGTTGATGACATAGACCCTACATTTCTTTGCAAGTTTTAACAGAGGTCCTGATCTTTTTACCTTTTGTGTTTCAGGGATGAAAAAGCTACTTGTTGTTTCTGTCACCAAATCATTGATGGAAGTATAAAGATCAGTTTCAGTGAACCTCTGCTGACCTGCCACCCTGAGTGTCTGAAGGTTTGTTAAGGGTTCTTCTTTTGGAAACATAGCTTTATGTATAGATATACACTATATAATGAATGTTGACTCTTGCATCATTGCATCATGCTAATGTTAAGTATGTTTTTGCAGTGTGGTGTTTGTGCCGTGGCCCTCGGAGACATGATGACCCCCATGTACTTACATAAAAAAGAGATCCAGTGTGGTGGCTGCTTTGCAAAAACTCTTCAGATCTGAAGCTCATCTTATGCTCTCAAAGCATAATGTGATTAATGTGCTGTCTAGACTGACAATCTCATCACTTAAAAAAAAAAAAAATATATATTTTCCCCACTGAGAGGCAGGACATGCAGTATATTGTCATGATTAAGATTTGTGTCATGAACAGGCATGGCAGCATGTTATTTGTAGCAGTAATCCTCAAAGATGCTTAAATGAAATACTTCACAATCAGCATAAATGATTTTATTGCAACATACTGTGTGGTTAAAATAAAAATCACAATTTATTGCCTCAGATGTAAATGGTTTAATCAGCCTTAATTTCAAATAAGCACACACCAGACCAAGCAGCAGGGCAACACATTAAACACAAGTCACCTGGAGATCAGTTATTGAAGCATCAACCCCCTCGGGTAGCTCATTTTAAGCTCTCACCAAAATACCTCCAGGAATACAGATATTTGTTTCACCCCCCTGCAAAGCAAAAAATGCATTGTGAGTGAATGCAAAGTACTTTTTTTTCTGTTTTTGTGAAGTGAAAAGCTCAAAGAGAAACTTTGGTACATCCAGCTTCACTTGCTTTAGTTCACACAATGTTGATACGCAAGATGGTGATAATGAGGCAGCAGCAAAATCATATTCAGAACCAATATGTGCATCAGTAAACACTGAGTGGTGCGCACGCAGTTATGACTCGCAAGGCAAGCTGTCATTTCTCTTAATTATTCATGAAACATCATACATCACAATCAGCACCAGTGAAGCCTCACAGAAAAGATAAAATGAGAGACACAACCTGCAAAAAGGGAAATGAACAACAAAGCTAAGAGAATCATCTGAGAGGAGGATTTGAGGAGCAGGCCAGAGCTCATCGCCGGGTGTGAATTATCTTCATCTCTCTGTCTGTTGTTCATGCTTAACAGTGATGAGAAACATTTTGTCTTTTGTTATTGGACACGTCTAAAGAAATACTAGCAGGCGATCCAGGTTTGGAAGTTGCCGTTTCCCAGAGGATACATGTAAATCTAGTGTTGCATAATGTTGACTGTCCATCTCAAAGCCAGACGGTTGGGGTTGACTATGGCGTTGCTCTTAGCGGATCCCTTTTCTGCCCAGGAACCGCAAGACTGCGTAGTTGTAGGTGGTGGCGACCAGATACAGGAACTGCAGAGGAAGAAATTGTCGGAGGTGGAAAGAACAGAGAGGAAAAAAATATGAAACTACTGATACTACAGTGTAAACAGAATGGGCAAGCAGACTGAATATTCTTTTGGCTTTGCGACAAGGAAAAAAGTAATCATCTTTCAGGGGTGATTCATCACTGGTGGGACAAGTGTTCAGATCTTCTGCTTCAGTGAAAGTAGCAGTATCACCATTTAAAAGTGGCTGCAAGTAAAAGTCCTACACACCAAACATTACTTACAAAAAAGAATGCAAGCATAGTTGGCAAAATGTACCTAAAGTATAAAACTATTCATTACACACCAAAATACTCAGTGTTCTTCACAACTGGATTGATATTACTGATACATTACCATGTAAATAGCATTTAAATATTGATGCTGACTAAAGTGGAGCTGATTTAACTCATTTTATGAACTGTCAAGTGGGTTAATTGACTGTATTCATTATATTGTATATCATTTATTGCATCCTGATACATTCTTACATCATTTATTAAATCCTAATATCCTGTAAAGTAACTGCAGCTGTCAGGAAAATGTAGTGGGGTAAAAGTACAATATGGTGTAGTCAGAGTAGAACAAGTTAAAATATATAACTAAGATTTATACCTAAATACTTGAGTAAATGTGTTACTTTACTACTTACTCACCTCTAGTGAGATCTAGTCATGCAGGTAGTTTTGGTTTAGAGTTGTCCACATGCTATAAAATCCATTGTGTTGACATTTTTGCTCAATACAAACAACTTGACTAGAATTTTGATTGCGAGGCTCACAGCACTAAAAACTGACTTTGACAGCGACTTTATCACTCCATATAATATTTTGTGTTGGTAGAAACTATTTCTTTGGTAGAAGCTTCCAGAAAACTGAAGCCGCCTCTTGGATAACAGGTGACACATCCAGTTACTTTTTTTTTTTACCATCACCTGGATGACTGAGAATCTTTATAGATATTTTCCTGAGTAGACTCACTGACAACACACAATGTACATAGTGATGTTTTTAGATTTCAAAGATCATCAGGGACATTCTTCCTGGAAAGAATCACTACAAACTAAATTTCTATTATTAGAGTGATCAAATAAAACCAAAATGACCTGCTTGACTGAATACCACTTTGTGTCGATTTTGTAATTTTAGAAAAACTGACCCTTTTCATTTGATTCAACATTTACACGAGGAAGCTTAAATGTCCAGGGAGCAGGCAAACTGCCAAAGCTATTTCTTACCAGTGCCAAGAGAGTGACCCCAGCACCGGCGAATGCAGCTATGTACAAGTCATAAGTGACGTAGAACTGTAAGACATAACAAACACAAGTTAATGTAATATGTGCATTCAGAGAATTTAATCAATCTCTTGTATGTTACTCTTATTCAGTTATGCTCGCTCACACACACATGGATCCGTTAATAATTTTGGTGTTGTATCGATTGTAAACACTGATGATGCTGACATGAAATACTGAATTGTGTCCAAAAAAAGGAATCTTGGATTCATCTACTCACTTCGCTGGTTTTGCAAATAGATGCCAAGGTCATTCCACAAGCCTTGCCTGGCATTGCATTCCAAGGGAGCAGACCTTAAGTAAAGACATGACGTAAGTGAGGCATCTCTTACCATTGCTGAATCATGATGAGTTATGACGCATTAAGGTCCCCCCCCCCCACCTTCATGCACACAGCATATCAGGCAAACAACAGTGAAGAAATGAAGATGAAGGTGTAGTTATCGTCATTATTTCATAATAATTCTACCATCAGTCTCGCAGCTACTCCCCAGCGATTAATTCATCGCTTTCAAGGGCACATTAACATTCTCATCAGGGGGACATGCGGTCAGTCATTATAAGAACAACACACCATACTGCCTGGCGTCCATGCAAATCCAGCCATGCTGATTAATGCTGGGGGTTGTTTCAGCCAGGATGTTGATGTTGTGGCAGGTCTGCTCCATGTTGAACAAGAAGAGAACGGGGATGGCAGTGAAGGCAAACACTGCCAGCCAGATGAAGGCCAAGATGTACGTCACTATGATAAACTATGGAAACAACAAAAAAACAAAGACAGTGCAGAATTGTTGCATAGATGCTCAGGTTTCAGAGTGATAAATGTGGCGTCATTAACTCAGCTTTCAAACATAATTCATGATTCCGTATAGAAATGACACAAACAAGGAACATCTCATTGAGCGAAAGGGGCTGAAACAAACCAGCTCTCAGCATCTCAACAATGACCCGACGTCATGTTTCTCCTCCCTCCCCCATGTTCTCACCGTCAGGCTGAGGCAGCGGCCACACTGGGTACTCCTGAATTCGCCAAAAGTCTGCTTGACTGCACTTGTGGTGTAGAAACCCTCAGCCAGCAGCAGGATGCCATAGAGGAAGAAAAATGACGCCAGGCCGTAGATCACGTACTGGAAGTATTTGATACTGGGACAGTCAAGGGGAGAAGTCAGTCAAACAGTAGAATTGAGCAAATCCAAAAAAAATCAATTGAATTTATTCAAGCATCACTCACAAAGAGGCCATGACCACATAGTCCTGAACGTTGCGGGCAAAGTAAGTCTCGACGAGGACTTCGGTATTGGCCAACGCTTCGTGCCCACAGCCACAAAATAATGCCACGCCAGCATAGAACAGCAGGGTGGCAACCAGGGATGGGTAGGGCACTGCCCCAAGGCACCGGATACAGCAATCATAACAACCTGAGGGGGCATAATATATCAGCACACAGGCGGCACACACCGCACATATAACCACACAACACATCTATGCCACGGTGGGGGACTCTTTCATCCTGTGGGGGAGCTATGAAAAAGGCCTTGCTCTGTCTGCAAATCCATGAGCATACACCAAAACCCCACCAACAGGCAAAAAAGCAGCAACAAGAACAACAACAACAAAAAAAAAAACTAGGCAGCAGCGACAAAACAAGAGTTCAAGCAGCGAAATTCCCAATAAAGCGTCCAAACAAAAGCAGCCACCTCTGACTTCACAACAATCTCATGCACGTCTTCCAGTGTAAGCTGCGCTGTTGAAGCAGGTAGCAAATATCCACAGTGTTAATAAATGCATTGCCAGAAATGGGATAGAGGAAAGCACCTAAGGCTTTGCAAAGCCAAGGCTGCCTGACCGGAAACATTTGCTGCTTCTGATCCTGTACTCCACAACAAAGAAAGATCCCAGTGCCAACCAGTGGTGTACAGTGCTGCCTACAAGGTATTGCTACTGTAAAATAAGTCTCTCTGTGCTGACTTCATCCGTATGTGAACTCTCCTCTGCCTGTACCAAACACCTCACAGCTCAGCCCTGACTAAATCTGGTCCAGCCCTCTTTCTCCGGTGGTCACAGTCGTCACCAGGCGACCGAGGGATGGTGGTGAAACACTGGCTTCACGGGCCCAGAAGAAAGAGCTTCTTCTTTGTGGCTGCGGATACAATATCTATTGTGTTTGCCATGATCAGGGAGGAACAAAGGGCAGTGATGTCAAACAAACAAAGACGCATCGTGCCACTACACACACACACACATAATGTAGTATGCGGTGGCGGAGGGGTCACCAGGACCGTCTCTGCACCGCTGGCAATGTCACTACTCAGGCCATCCTCCATCCACAGCTGGCCGAGCCTGGTACCATGGCACTGAGTGTCAATGCCGGCGGGGGCTGGGTTCAAGTGTTCAAAGAGTGGGTGGAAGCATAATGAACGAGAGGGGCGATTTGAATATCTTCACAACAACAACAGCCCCACTCAAAAATTAGACTTTTGCCGATACGCATTGTGAAATCCTTGAGTGCCTGAGCCCTCGGGGTGTGCAAAAATCTCTCTGATATTTCTGATTTTAGTTAGAAGGAAGAGAGGCTCTGAGTTAAACAAACTGCTGCTAAAGTATAAATAGCAACAGCAGGAAGACTGTTAGTCCCAAAAAAAATGATAGTGCCTGCAGACGCCTACACTTCAGCTGTGCCCTGCTGCAGCAGCGGTTACAGTGATGGAGTGATACGTGCCATCATAGCCGCCGTTTGAATTCAGTGCAAAAAAGCATAAATGCATTCAATGCCAGATAATTAATCGAGATTCCAAACCTGTTAAAAAACGTGTAAAAGTTAGCACACAAGTTGCTTGTACGTGAGAAAAAAACGGTTAGCAGAAGTTGTTTGTGTCCACGATTCTCATGGAAATTTGCTAATTTATCCCCGTGACACATGTGGGAGTATCTGACCTCTTTCACATGAGTGACCTGGCATGGCCTTGGCATGATGAGAGCTGCTGCCAATCTCCCTCAGCGACTCTGATTCCAGACTAATTTATGCTTAAAAGAGGTTAGAAGAGGTAACAAGGACTTCTTTCTTTACTGCAAAGTAAATAATCCCGGCTGAGTCCATGTGATGTTTGCCTTTCAGTCCGCTGAAATCATTATCATGTGTTAAATTGGATCATATATTAAGAACAAGAGCAGAAGGTGAAGCAGTGGTAAATCAACAGTCCATGAGAATTCTGATATATGAAAACACAGGAGGAATCTGCAGTCCACAGTGGATGAGGGCAACAAGATGTCTAAGGATCGAAAGGACATATTAAAGGCAACATTAGTAAGTTATTGAAATGCACTTTTTTTCCCCTCCTAAAATCACATTAATAAGAAATGATAAGAGTTATTAAAAATTCTGTGCACTCACCCATGTCCAGAAAGAAGTGTTGGGGTTATTGGAGTTTTGCTGGGTGGCTTTGTGACTGTGATATGAGGATATGAGAAGTTATTCCCCGCCACTCCTATATGAATCTGACTCGCGCTTTTGTCTCATCAACAATAGATAGACCACATCTCCCCGAGTCACATCTTAAAGTCACAAAGTCCCATTTCAGCTGCCAGTCATTATTTATGGAGCCACGGGTTCAGGAGTGGGGACAGAGAGTGGGCCACAAATCCTAATAACAACTTTTTTTCTTCATATTTGCTTCTATTTACTGCACTTTAGCTGTTGTGACTGATACTTTATTGTCTTCTCAGATTAAACTAAAAGATGTTTGTATTTTACTAAAAATGACACTTTTTTGCACTTTCTAGAAGATATCAGCCACAAATATTAAAATGTTTTACACATTTTGGCCAATCTAAAATAAATGATAGTTCACATTTAAGGGCAAAGGTGCACTTTTTTTTTTCTTTTACCTAATATGCCCATTTAAAAAGTAACCCATCCATCTAGGAATGTTTACATATTTCCATCTCAGACTTGCTCTGTTTCTTTTGCACATTCATTTTAGAAGGTGCATTTAATTAACTTTCATCTGCTCATTGTTGGCATGCATGTGTCCCCTGCCTGCACACGCCACATACGCCAGATGTCGGCACCACGCAGTTAGCAGTCTAATGGTTTCAAAAAGCAGTATGTTCAGAAAACGCACCAAAATAAGAGGCATGCACAGACAAAAGAGTGGGATAAATCGAAAACGCCAGTGACTGACATTGATGAAGTTGACTAACAAGGGTGACATTGACGGTCGGGTCCAGCTGCTGTCCTCCTTCCCTCCCTCCCTCATGTTTGACCCAGTTGATGTCAAAGCTGGGTTCACTACAAAGGAGCCAGTGTGGAGCAGGAGAAAACACCATGCTATTTTTTTTTTTTTTTGTGGTGGGAGAAAGTCCTCATCCTCTTTTTAACTTGCCATTTTAATCCCACAATAAAACAAGTGGATGTAACTGGTTATTATCAGAACAATCATGTGGTTACATTGCATTTAACTGTAGTCACTTTGAATGGATCATATTTTTATGACAGATTACACTTCGTTAGGTATCATCCTTTGCTCCCTTTAAAAATCTGAACATTTGAGGGGCTGGTCTGCTGTTGAACACAATCCACTCCTCATAAGATTGCGCATTCAAAAAACAAATAGAAGAGGAATAGCTCGCTGGATTCTGAAACTGTTCTGCTTAGGTTTCCATTCAGCACCCTTTCATCCTTTAAAAAAACCAACAGCAATTACAGATAAAGTAATTAGTATGAATAAAGGATTAATGACAGTGGCTTTGTTACAGTGGAAGTGAAGTGCAGAGGAATGACATCTTTGAGAAACACCGTGCGAGAGACAGACAGACGAGAGGCAGTAATTAACCTCCGTGCTGTATGCGAGCCTGCAGAATGGCTGTCAGCTTTACTTGTGAGATGTAAATAAGCAATAATGTTGACAAACATAGGACGGGATTAGGTAGGAGGACAAGTGTTCGAGGCTTGCTCGCTTGGGTGACATGAAAGGAGAATTTATGAATAAACTATTCCCCTCAAAAGCCGATGCAGATGGTGGTCAAGGATGTGAGCAGCTCAGAAGATAAATTATTGGGTAGAGCTTAATAAGACCGCATAACAGTCTCTGGTTAATGCATGAACTGATTTTGAACAAATTCATCACCCTTCACGCTTTCAACTAGGTTGCAAATGCTATTAGGCTGCATATATCAGTATATATTTTGCATAATCACGAGCAAAACGGTACCTATATCATGATCAGCTACATGGACAGCAACGTGAGTGCACTATATATCAGTGCAGCGCATGTGACTGCATGTGATATGGCACCATGATCTATCTGTGAGTCATTTTTGTAATTGTTTGCTGTGTGATAGACTCACACACACACTCACACACCAATATTTGCACACTGAACACGGTAATATGCATGTGTTGATACAGGGGAGGAGGAGGCCCTGTAAAAATATTTGCACCATCTCTTATCCCCGTTATCATAATGCGTGTTATGTTATCTTGTGACAAAACGAACAAACAGCCATCAAACAAACAAACATGCACTTGGAGGACAAAAATACGTCAGTCAGAAGTGAATTCAGTGGCGATGACCTCCCGCGGTGAGGGCCTAAATTATTTGTTTAACTGCATGATGAAGTAAGGACGGACTGAGCCTGGTGTTTGCTCGGTTGTGCGTTTGATTGTCTTTTATGTGTGTGTTTGAAGTTTGCGAGATATGCAACCAGCCACCGTGTTTCAACATTTTCAAAAACAAACCAGAAAAAAAACTGCGCCGCGCCAAAGCAACAGTAGTTGGAGGAACATCAAGGAAAGATGAGGACTGAAAGAAATGTGTTTGTGGTGTTGCTGGAAGTTTGGAGGAAGTGGTGGAAGATGTTTTTTTACTTAAGGAAAAGTACTAAAAATGTTACCTGGGTATTAGCATGTGAATGTATTTAAAGTATGACAGTAAAAGTACTTGATGCACAAAAATACTTTCCTTTCTATGACTATTCATATGATATTTCAGATTATTATGACTCATGTGTTGATGATAAAGCAGGATTTTGTGGCTGATTGAAGTGGACATGAACCATGTTGTATAGGGCCTCAAATCAGATTATTTTCATGAAGGATTGATTGGTTGATTCATTTTCTCTATTAACTGACTTGAAACAATTCTAAAAATACAAAGGAATTTTCAAAAATGATCATTTTCATCATCAACCAGCTGATTAACCAACCAATCGTCTTCTACTGAACTTTTAAGGACAGTTGACTTAATAACAAAACATTACATTTAATGAGATCCTCATATTTTGTGTGTAAAAAGTCTTAATTTGGAACATAATTAAAGCTCTCAGATAAATGTAGTGAAGCAAAAAGTTCACTCTGAGATGCCGGATGTATAAAGTGGTATGAAAAGAGAAGACTCAAGCGAAGTGCAGGTCGCCTGATATCAGCTACGGCGTATTATATGCTGAAAGGGTAGCTACCATTAGCCACAGTATGAGCAAGTAAGGCTGTAATGATAAAAGCCTGAAGGTATGGCATTGAACAAGGCTTCATTTTATTCCCTATTAATTTAATTTTTCAGTTTTTTAAAAAAGATAACTTTCTTTTTTGTGCTGGAGTGGACAGCTGAAGAGAGGCATGAAAGGGAGGAGAGTGACGAGGGGCAGTAAGGGCTAGTCTCACTTCAATCCCAAACTAAACCCGAACTAATGCCATTTTATACGTAAGACACCTTCAGAGTATTTCCAGCATCATTCTACTGATTTAGCATTAGGCTCCTGTAACACTGCTTGAACTCACCGTGGGCAGTTTAAAAATCCTCAAACTTTATGCAACAGAACCGGAGATATCATCCTGCTTATGCAACTGAACCGCCAACAGATCAGTTCGAGATTCAGGTGTGTTACACTAATAGCGGCTTATGTAGCTTGTATCTTGCTGCCAGCCTCAAGCAGAGATGAGGAGTGGGTTACAGAAGTCTGGCGAGCTCATGTCTTTCTAACTTCACACCCCCACATTTCCCAACTTGTAATCTTCCGCTCCAAACATTTTATCAGATTTTTTTCTTTTTCTCTTTCCATCAGCCTTCCTCTGCGTGGTGCCACAAAACACCCCCAGACCAGTAAACAGGCAGGTGTAAAATCAGTGGCGTTCACCTGTAACTCCAACTCTAAGACCCACACAGTGTACAGCGGAGGCCTACGTTTCACACATTTATGACTAAAAGACACAATAAAATCTCTTTTTATACGTGCAATCTCGGTATAAAGTGAAAATCCCAATTGCTGACAAGACTCGTCTTTAGGTTCAAAAATCTTTTAATAGTCGTCTCATTTAGATTAAACAATGTCATGATAGGTTCAAAAAAATCAGATCTCAAAGCTTGATGTCCATCATGTCGATTCAGTAAAGGATGACCCCTGGATATAACTCGGTATGCACGGGGTCCAAACCACTTGGTTAAGGAGCGATAATCTGTAAGGTTCGTAAAACTCCCTTTTTAAATGTGAATATTTGAATTGGAATACATACAGTTACAATGTAATTACAGTCATCTTTCTGAAGACCTTACAGTATCTCATAAACAAACGACAAATAAAATGTTGGTCTAAGTTTATTCTGTACAAACAAGCCAAGCCAAAAGAACCATGAGTCGGTTAGAGTAGGAAAAAACACATCTTATGCGAAGTCTCTTTTTATAGTGAAGCAGAAGTTATATTCCTACAGTGTACTGAGCAAAAAATTCTAAGCACAGAAAACAAAAATATAGCAAGGATACTCAAATAGACTACAATAGATTACACAACACTACATATGCAAAACTGAATGGTTAATTTCAAACGATGCCTAATTTACATTTTTGCACTGCAGCTTTCACCCTTCCACTCACTCGCACACCCACGCAAGCCCACGCACACACGGGTGCTATAATTTGCACTACCAGATAGAAACATTTTGTATAATTTGGACTTTTTTTTTTCTCTCTCTCTCTCTTTTGTTTGTTTTCTTACCACATGTGACCAGTATTTGAGTCAAATTTCAATCCATTTGTTGTTATGATTCCACATTAATTCCTTATGTAAGCGATGTACAAGGCATTTGAAAGTAATTACAGTAAAAATACAGTTTTCATAATAAGCAATGTACCATGAGAAATATGTATAAAATAGCTTGATAATAGTCGTAGTAATACTGCTTTTCTGCTTTTCCCAGATCTCATCTCCGTCCGCCCCGACTTGTAATGTCACTTTGTTCCACGAGATCAAAATAGATATCACAGAGTAAGAAAAAGCTTCCCATACAAATCCAACTGTATAAACATTATACTAAGTTCTTGCTAGGTAAAGTTCCAAAAAAGCCAAAGTGGAAAATGAAATGCACTTTTCTTTTTGACTGCCTTTGAAAATGATTATTATAAAATGACTCTGCAGTTAGACTTCTTATTATGAGAGAGCAAAGGCAGGATGTTGGCGCTTGTACACCTTTGGAAAAGACAGAACGAACATATTCAACCCTATTTTACCTACACATCCTAAATACAGCTTTACATTTCCGTGTTTCAGGTACGTCGCGTTTCTCGTCGCCGTTCTCCTGCCAGGCTATACTCGTGTGGTCGAGTGGGTGCTGGGCAGGCCCGCGGAGCTGTAGCCAGCAGGGAAGGTGCTGTACGGACTCATGTTTGAGAGGCCCATTAGGGAGTTGGGGATCATGGTGATGTTGTTGGGGGTCATCAGAGGGATGTCGTCGGGGGAGCGGCGCTGGCTGAGCGTGTAGTCCAAGGTGGGCGACACATGAAGAGGATTGTGAAGGGCCTCACACTGGTTCCTTTGCTGGGATGAAAGGGTTTCGTCCACTGTGGTGGCGTGGCTCGCGTTGTTGCCTTTGCTCTCGCGCTGAGGACTGGGCTGCTGGGACGTGTCCTGGCGGCTGCGCTTGTCCTTGCGGTAGTACAGAGCAGCGAAGGCCAGGACGTTGAGGAAGAGCAGCGACGCCCCTACGGCGATGGTCACGCTGAGCTCTGTGGAGTAATCTCTGGGGTTCGGCATGATCAGAGGACCCATCTCTCTCCCCGCTTCTCCGTTGTTGTGGGCGGTGGACAGAGGAGGCCGTCCGGTGCTGCCGGATCTCTTACCGTTGGACTGGGTAGGATCCAGTGGGGTGACCTTGGTGGTGGTGGACGAGTAGTGGAACATGTCGTGGAGGTTGTAGAGATGGGGCACCAGGTGTTTCCAGAAGGCCACTTTGGTGGCGCGGTAGTGGTCACGGATGCGAGGCTTCAGGCCGATGTGCAGGTAGAGCTGGTCATAGGGGTCGTACTTAGACCAGGCTACCTCCTCGAAGCGGTTGGCCTTGGTGTGGATGAACTTGGTGTCCTGTGGCACGGGCTTGTTAGGATCCCTATGAAGACATCATAGAATGATTTGGTCATAAAAGACAAATGTGTTGGATGAAAACTAAATGATTAGAGCATTAGAGCTGCATTCAATTCAATACTTGTCAACTTTCAGCGGGACCATGTTGTGATGATATAATTTTATTTATTGATGTAGATATTTCATTGTCCAAACTAATGATTCAGAACCAGCTAGCAAGAATAACAAACAAAATTTGTTATTGATTTTTTTGTTCTACACACAGTGGAACACAGTTCAATGCACGGAGCGTTAGTTAGATTTTGCTTACATTTTCTACACCATAAAGTGCATCATTACAGGAAAATATCTGTATTAATATTGTGATAATTATTTTAGCCACATTGCTCAAACGTGGGCACTGTAATTGCAATGTTAGTTTCCTATGGAAACAGAAGGCTTTTCCATGGAACTGACTGTAATGCAGAAAGAATAGAAGAACTTCACCAATGCAAGAGCAAAATCTAGGTCAACACAATGTAATATCACCGACTCTCCTCAAGAGCTCAGCATTCTCTCATTCCTACACACTGGAAGAGCAGCCTACAATGACCTGTGCTGTGCTTTCGCCTACTGCCGGGGTCATCGTGCACAAAGATTCATTGCAGCTCCGCATTCAATATGCAGAGAGGCTCCAGCACTGCAGCAGAGGAGTCCTCCACTACAGTACAACTCACTTAGGTGTCTGTTGTCTTCAAGAACACCCAACAAATCTTTGCCTCTGTATGACAAATTGCAAAACAAGCTGTCAGAAGGAGGGCTGCAGAGATTCACTCTGTTGCGCTTTCAACAGCGAGCTTTTCCACAGCTGAGTCAGTGTTCGTGTGATTTCAGGTCAACATCAGGCCGTAGCTTGTCTTGGACAATAAACTCTCATTTTCTGAAAACTGGAAAACTTTATTAAGATGAAAAAAAATCTGATGTCGTCCAAAATATATATATCAAAGGCACCGAAAGGAAAGTTATGGCTAGACAGATGCACAGGAGATGTTCTTTTAGGTCTCGCAGTAAAATTGCTATAAGAGGCAAACTGCCAGAAGGAAAAACAGATCCACGGTGAAAAATAAAGGAGTAGTTCGTCTCTGCTTAGCAGTCATCCGAAGGCTTCCCAAATCTGTGCAACACCCACAATAAAAACACTGTGTATTACAAGCAAACACGGATATACAGTGTGTACACGGAGTATTTCTGTACTCACAATGTGTGTCACTCCTACTTGAAATCACAACTAACAATAAATTTGGCTTTGGTTTATAGAGTACATCTTAACTGTCTCTTCACATTTTCCCTTCAACATAAGCTGAGCAGCTGCGTTAAACATTTATGAGAATTAAGCTGTAAATTTAAAGATCCATCACCTTTAGGAAATCTGCCCACAGTGATGAAACTTTGTGATGAGCGTGAGAGGAGATTTTACAGTAACCGAAACATGACCTGGCATTGAAACACGAGTCCTACCAGACACTTTATATGGGATACACTCAGTTGTGTCAGCTGGTGTGATTCTACACTGAAAGCACTGGATGGGATTTTTACATTTATGTTGAGGTCAAATCAGTTACAGAAAGGGGAACGTACAGTAAGTTGTGTCAGTTTTGATGTTAAAGAATTTATACGAATCGATAAAAACTGCAGCCCAGGTTTTCATGTGGGAGTTCTTGTGAAGTGAAATAGGAAAGAAAAAGATACGGCTCGAAGACATAGTAGTGGGAGTTCAGGCTGCACTTAATTTGGAGATCTCAACATGGAGTAAGGTGTAGGTATGGCCAGTTACGTTATACCCCAACACTCCAGCCTTTACAATTTGACACTGAATGAGAATCTAATACATGAAACCAAATTGTGTCGCTGTGTTTGCTGTTACTCACCCACTCTTTGCAAAGTTGGTCCAGTAGGTCATAACCACAGCGCTGAGCATGATGTCATTCCGGGAGAAGTTGCAGGGGAACAGATCAGTCGGGCCCACCATGGGGATGCCAAACACGTAAGGCACCTCATCTCCATGTGCTGAGTCTGACCACACTGGCTTCATAAGGCTCTGGCAGTGGTGGTAGAAGGCGTAGAAGTACGTGGGCGAGCCGTAGCGGGCGTGCAGGTCAGCCGTCACCACCGATGGCTCCACCCATTGGTGGTCAGTGAAGAGGGCCACCAGGGTCTTCCTCCTGGTCTCCGGGTTGTCCTTGTCAGCCCAGTCTGTGTACATGAATTTAATTGTCTCTCTCAGGGTGTCCTTCCCTTCTGGGTAGCCATACAAACTGTCCACAAAGTCTGACACAGCAAAATCAAAGTCGCTGCCAGACACTCCGTCCTCCAGATCCATCACGTTCTCCACGAAGCGCAGCCCCTCCCCCTGATTAACACCCAGCATTATATCATAGTTCAGGAACTCGCCCTGCTCCATCAGGATCTCTGGGTCGTCCGGGATGACGTCTCCGTCAATGACGGGGCCGAAAGCCACGCGGTATCGGGCAGCCTGGATGTCTTGCTCTACCAGCTCCTTAGCGCTTTTCTTCTGCAGGCAGGAGACCATGTCCACTGTGTCCAACACATTGCAGCCAACCCTCTCAGCAAGCATGCGAGTGTACTTGACCGGCTGATAGTTCACAGCCCAGCTGGACAGCGCCGAGCCACTTTGGATGATGGCTCTGTGGAACAGACCTTGGGACACAAAATTCAGAACAAAAAGACACAGGACAAATGCCCAGAGAACAGAGGTTATCCCACTACACCACTATTATTAGTAGCATTCTGAACTGCCCAAAGCAAACACATGATTCACTTTCACTCTAATTGCTATTCACAATTAAATACGAAGCTTGTTGCTGCACAAAATCCAGGTAAACAAACACAAAAAAAGGCCACGTGATGTGCGTTAACCTTTAGTCGGGAAAATAAAGCAGCACAGAGTGATGAAGCCAGACAGTCCAGCTGATGAGAAGCTGCTCAGTAATGCAGTAGGTAGAAGAAAAGTCCTGGTAATAGGACGCCGGCTCCTTCTGTTGTTAATATAATGATAAAAATGCCCAAAAAATCGTGCTTTTCCCCTGCTGATCCGCTTATTTGTTTCTCTATGCAGATGACAGTGAATGCTTGTCAAACTAATGATCAATTTGCAGCATTGTTTCAGCGAGGAGGTGTCTAGTTTTCCCTACACCAGTTATTCACAGATGTAGTGTAATTGTGGAATCGTTAATACTGTGTGTCTAACAAGCTGCGTAGCTTACACATAGACTGCTGATGCCAACTGTGCGGTGGAGGGTGTGTGCAGAGAGCTGAATATGCAGTAACCCTGATCCTTCAATGTTGATAGAGTAAACACGCTGCTCCGTTGAATTGTTTATATGCAGTGCGTCACCTCTGTCTCTGGGGATTTTGTATCTACCACCTAAAAATGACAAGTGATATGTATCAACTCAGAAAATACTCTGCCGAGGTTAAGGCATAACAGTCGCAGGAGAACGAGTGTAGGGACAGTGTCACTTTCTCCCTCCTTTGCTGTCATTTATTTCAATTTTTTAGGGCAGCAGCTAGCTAGTCTACTTCAAAGACAGCCGGAGGTCTTTGTGCATTTACTGCAGCCGAGCTAGGACATCTAATACAAACCTCACAAAGGACAGCTGCTGCAGCCTGCCTGCCGTTGATGAAAACACACAGTTTTTGTCCTTCTTGTGATTTTGTCCATCATCAATGAGAGCACCCAGGCAAAGATAAGAGGTTCAATTCCCGGTGGGCCACCCATATTGAAATGCACATCTTTGATTCTTGTAAGGAGCTTTGGAGAAGTGTTCATCAGATGGCACATTTTAATATTACCTACTTTTCTTTTCACAGGTTATCAGATGCTGGATTCCCGTGGGTGATTTATACACTATATACTGGTATTTTACCTGAATTTACTTAAAGATAATATTACTGTTCATGCGGAATTTGGCCTAAAATGTGCTAATATATTACCACACTGCCAATATATGTGGGAAAAGAAGGGAAAAAAAGTTGTTTTTACAGAAAATATGTTAAGAATTTGGACTTTTTTGTGGTCGTGCTTCATCCTCATGCCAACCTTGTCCTCAGTAAACAGCGTCTTCACACGAGGTTTTGCAATGACAGAAGATGAACACACCGAAATCACTGCAATTTTTGATCATTTTTGGAACTGCCGGTGGGTAAAAAATGGGTAAATAAATCAGACGCTGAGAGACTGAAGTATAAATCAGTTGCAATGGTAAAAACTGATGCTCACAGGTGAACGTGATGACATGCTGAAAACTTTATAATGCCAGTAGGCTTCTTTAAGAGCTTCACATTTTAAGAGGCAGAGCTTTTAGTCTGATTAGATTGAGTAGAGGGGAACAAAAGCAATCACTTACTTAACGAATCCCCCCTTTACCCTACTCCCATATCATAACACTTCATCTCTCTGCCAGACCACTTGGAGCTACGCTTAAAAATAAAGAACAAAATTTTAAAATAATAAAATAAAAATACTGTTTGAAAAGATAAAGTAAATTTAATTGAGAAGATTAAATCTTACAACTCAGGTTCATGCAAACTGACATTTATATTATTGCAGTAATTGCTACTTGAACTTTAGCTACCACTACACAAACTATAGAATGAGAGATAACTTTGCAGTATTGACTTGTAGATTCTTACCCTCTGAGTGATGGGACAGCGTCAGCAGACTGACACACGACGCACCGATTCCAGATCCAAAGACCGTGATGCGGCCCGGGTCGCCTCCAAAGTAACCAATGTTTTTACTTATCCAACGGAGAGCTTGAATCTGGTCCAGGAGTCCATAGTTTCCTTTGGCTGCCTGGTCACCAGTACTGAGGAAACCTGATATATACGGAGACACAACAGAGCCGGCGCTGAAGTAGAGCTGTACAATGTGTCACAACTTTGATGTAGAGCTGTAGCCCAGCAGGCCATCTGAATGAACTGGCACCGTTCCCCCTCAGGTGTAAATATACTCTCTCCTACTGTGTTTCACTACTTTAGTCAACTCCTTGTAATAGTTTCCAAGCAGCAGTGCCCCTCAGGAAGTGATCAGGGCTCTGCTCATCAAATTTTAATGCTCTACTCACAACAGTGACTTAATAACAAACATAAATAAATCTTCTACTTGTATTTCATTAAATGAATTTCATAAAAACAGACTGAGGCCACTGGAGCTCTTACATTGATCCTATTACATATTCCCTTGTCTGGTCCCATCTAAACTCTGTTCTGTTTTGAATGTTAAACACGAGGAAACAAGAAAACTCTTGACCTTGTGCAGGCATGTGAATGCTGTATTTCTCCGTACAGTATTTAAATCGTGTTACTTTCAAGAATGGCAAAGGCTGATAATCTCATACAGATTAGATAGATCCATCTAAAGGGAGATAAATTGGGTTTTCAGAATGGGTATAAAGCAAATTTTGTGCAACAAGGACAAGACACGACACGCATTTGCATCGCTTTTCCTCTGACGACAACATTTAAATGCAAATCAAGCTGTGCAATGCTACCATATTTTCCTATAGGGTTTTTTTCCCCCTCTGCATTCTTCTTTCATGTCTTTACTTCTTTTAATAGGCTAATAACTGCAGCACAAGTGGAAGATAATGACCACTGTGACAGTTTATTCCCTTAGATTAAACAGGGCTAAATCCCCCAGTTGAGACGCCATTAAAAGTTACCGCACAGAGACGTTGTCATCACCTAGTATTCCAATTCTGTAGTTGAGCGTGACGACGACAACATTCCCATAACTGGCCAGAACGCTGCCGTCCATCATGTTCCCAGTGCCCTCCATATAGGAGCCTCCATGGATGTAGACCATCACAGGTCGAGCTTCAGAGTCCCTTATATCTGCAACATCAACACACACGCACGCACGCACACGTACACACACACACACACATGCTGAGCAAACAACTGCAGGGGCAGCAGTAATGAAATGGAGAATTAATGGAGCACTGTTACTAAAACTTTATATCCCAACTGTTCAGTATGAGGTATGGCAAAATACAGCTGAGAAAATGTGCTTAGAAGCAAGCAAGGGGTGGTAAGGCCTGTGGTTTGGAAGCTGTAATGACAATCAGAAAATGCATGGTAAATACACTCCGACAAAGGTGCATGAATAATAAAATAATTAACAACAGTTCTGATAGCGAGCAAGCATACTTGTGCTCTGCACCGTATCTAAATTACTCTGCGGTGGAAAGAGAGAGGAAAACATGTATTGATTTGACTTTATTCTCAGTTGAGGAAAAAAAATCCTGTCATGACCAAACTTTAAAGTTCAGTGTAAAATATGCATGTATAGCATTAAAAATATGTTTAAGCGTAGGTTTGACCTGCACAACACTGAGCGCTCGCTATCTACTAGTATGAGCTAAAATAGAAACTGTTTTTTTTCATAGAAATAGAAAATCAATATTTTATGTTTTGGGGCCAATTTATTATATTAACTAATGACTGTCCTTCGAAGGGACTGTAAGACAGATAAGTAGATAATGCAATCTCCGGATCAATGCACATGGCAATAGGGACGTAGCCCTTAGTGAAAGGATCGCAACAGTGCTCAATTCAAGACATGGGATGCAGTAACAGCAAACTTATGTAATCACAAAATCAGATAACAGCATGTTTCTTTTTCCAATCCAAATAAAAGAACCCCCGCAGTTCCTTAGGAAAGTCAAAAAAACTAAAGAAAAGAAAAAAAAAAAAACATTAAAAAAACTAAAAGAATCCATGCATCAAGACTTTGAGCTCTTAAAAAAATACCTTCAGATATATGAGTCTCAGCATGTGAGAAAGCCGCCCCCTTTTTCTTGTGTTGGCTCCCTGGGATTCACATAAGAAAAAAAAAAAAAAAAAGAAGTACAGATTTCAAAATATCATGGTTGACTGTGCCTCTTATTTAATAAACTGTCTAATCACACTGGCAGAATCAATTTCTTTCTTACAAAAGGTAGATGACATTATGTGGAATCTTTAGAGATGCAGGACATAATTACATTATGACAGGTACAAGATAATAAGTGTATATAATTACGCTTTGATTAGGTAAACAGATTGTGGCTCCTTGTTGGATATTTCTAAGGATCGACTCTTTGTGTCTATGTCCACACTCATGCACGTACACACACTGCTACCTTTGAATGCTTTATTAACTGTAACTGGAGTAATACTTGTCTCTTGGTAGATTTCATCTTTGTCTGCAGCTGTCATGTCAATTTCTAGGTAAACCACTGCAGGGCACTTAGTGGAACTATGTGGCGTATGGTTTATTAATGCATGATTAATACACTATGACTTCGGTGGGACATCAAGCCACGAATATATAGTATAAATTTCAGAAACACACTCTTTAATTGGATGTGGCAAAAAAAAAAAAAAAAAAAAAAATCTCACCGGAGATAAGTAAAAAATGAGAACAGGTTTCACATCAGTGAAACAAATAATAAAGTCACAGAACGCCTGAGGTGTATTTTAAATAAACAATGGCAAAGTCTGAAGAAATAAAAATGCACAGAACAAAAGGGGTTATGTTATTTCCTCTGAAACAAATATGGAGATGTGAAATTTCATTAACCTGTTTGCGTGCCAGGTGAGGAGGCCTATAGGCAGCTCAGACGACGGGGCTTTATAAAATGTGGGCTGCACCATTTTGGACAGCTACCTCTCAAGCTGGCTGTTTATCAGTTGTTGCTATGCTACCATAGAAAAGCCAGTCAAAGAGTGGCGTGCTCCATACACAAGCTGAACACGGTTCAACTTTAGAATGCTGGGTGTTTTGTGTTATGCCGAATGCATGCGAGGGAGGCGATACACCCTCGGAAACTGTGTTTAATTGGTGCATTGAAGTAACCTCAATGAGAGAAATCTGTTTGTCAACACTAGATTTAGAGAACATGCAGCATTACCGTGGCATTACATTGTTCTGCTAATCTGGAGACTCGCAGCAGACAGACAAAATGTTCCCTTGCTGGTTCATTTCACAGTTCTATTAGTCACAAAAATGAGAAGGATTCAGCATGCGATAGACAGTTGACTCCTGTACCTCGCTAATTGGCCCCCAGCAGACAAACTGTGTGAACAGAGCAGCGATTCAGGAATATAAAGAAATTCTTAGCCAAACATGGAGAAAAAAAATGGCACTGCTAGCCTCACTAGCTCTAAGTAATCTTCCCGCTTACCTTTGATGCTCAGCGGTTACAGCAAAATATGCTGGGCTCATCATTTTAAGAGCTGAGAATTATTGCTTAGTTTAGGTGAACCAATACTTAAATAACACCTCAGCTCAGCAGTATTTCACTGGATGTCTGTTAGCGCGGAAACAAGCCCATTCCTCAGTACATTTATGTTTACTTATCCCTGCATATCTGAACAAAAGATCAACTTAGGGGCATCGGGGCAACATCTTCCGTTGTCATAGCTACCAAATAATTTCCTCCTCATCAGCGGCGATGGCAACGTTTCAAACGATAATGATGACATCGCTTTGGATGGTAAATCAGCCTCTGGTGGCAGCAATGACATGAGCGGCGGTCACACGCATGATTTATGATGATCACAGGACAACGTCAGGGTCACACGAAAACGGTGATCAATGAACATGGAGCGTCATTGCTGTCCATTTTACCCGCACCAACTCACCATCCTCTGTTGGAGCGTAGATGTTTAGATACAAACAGTCCTCGCTCTGATCCTGAATGTATGTGGCTACTGTGTCCAGGTTATAGGTGAACCATATGGGCATCATGATCTCTGGCACGGTGTTGTGGATGTTCTGAGGGCACACAGGCATGAAGTGGGTAGCGTTCTTGACACCTGACCAGGAGGAGGGCTGTTCGGGGGGCATGAAACGCTTCTCGCCCACAGGCGGGGCAGCATAGGGGACCCCGAGATACTGATCAACGGGCCTGAGGACCTCGCTGGGCACGGGGACCCTGAGGCCTCGCAGCTTCCCAAACTGGGTGGTCACAGTTGGGTAGAATTTCTGGCTGGTTGCCTTTGTTAATGACCAGCAGGAACATAATATCCACCAAAGAAGAGCACAGTGGGTGATGGTTGCAGTCCCTTGCTGATGTAGCAGGTGTGCAGGCAACAGATGGTCTCTAAATGTAGCCAGCCACATGGTCTGGGCAAGACAGTGCCCTTGCACAACACAAATGCACACTGTAGTGTCTGTTCAGTCCCTTTGCAATGACCCTGTCAAACAGACATCACTCACTGCGCCTTTAGATCCGACTGTTATCAAATCCAAATACACCTCAGTCAGGTATGGACCGCCCCCACTTCCAGTTTTCATTGCAGTGCATACAGATCTGGAAACAAGATGAGGAGAAAAATTAGATCAGAAAACAGTAAAAAAAAAAGTCAAAACGGCAGTATAATTGACTAATTTGTGTTTAAAGTGTCACTTTCTTTCACTCTCCACTCTAAACACATACTAGAGTACATATTAGCTCGCTGTTGCAACAAAATTGCCTTAAAAGAACAAACTAATTCCCGTGCACACATGAATCACTGAATCCTGATCTTTATGTATTAGTGGAGGAGGCGATGGGAGGAATCTGAAAAACACATCTGCTGTGACGCTGGAGTGACACTGCAAAAGCATCTCATGATAAAAGGTGTTAAGCAATGTTTTTTTCCCCCTATGTGAAAGCAACAAAGTGAACAGCAAAGAAAGACAAATATTTCATTTGTATTGAAGCCCGATTAAAAAGACATGCTCACTGGGGATACAAAAAACCTCTGACGTGATTGTGATGTTTCAGTTTAATACATTTCAAAAAAACTACAGATCATGAATAGAGAGCGTTTGTGTCTTTCAGTACATCTAAGTAACACTGTCAGCATGAAGATGCATAATGGAAATGCTGAACGCTTCCAGAACTAACATGTCTGATGGGATCACACGAGCACCAAACATACTGATACAGCAGAGTAATTGGAGCCTAACTGGAAGACCTGAGGAAGGCTTACAGGTAGGAATCAACAGTTTGAGTTACATATCAGAGGAAACCGATCCTTTGACTTCTCTTTTTGAAGATTTGCCTTCTTTCCACTGAGCTTTTTTCTCCAGCTAGAAAATCTCCTCAATTATTTTCTAATTCCTAAACACTTTCTACATTTTTTATAGTATTTAGAAAGCAGAGCCGTAACAATTAATCAAACGAGCCATTACTTCCAACTGTTAAATTAATCGCCAACTATTTGGTTGGTTTGAGTAATTTTGTGAGAATTTATGAGAAAACAAAATCTAAATCCTCTGCTTTGAGCTTTATGAATGTGAATATTTTCTGGATTCTCCTCTGTTTTGACTGTGAACTGAATATCTTTGGGTTGTGGACAGAACAAGACATTGGAGGACATCATCCACCGCTCTGGAAAACACTGATCAACATTTTACACCATTTTATAGATAACACAACTAATTGAGCAATCGCCAGAATAATCGACGGATCAATGAAAATAATTATTAGTTGCAGCGATGCTAGAAAGACGACATGACTGCTTATAAGCAAAACCGACACAGATTGAATCCTGTTGATTCAAGCGAGAAATTCGTTCATTTTGGGTCTGTCCAGTATCTGCACCGCTTGATGCGAACATACTAAATGTTGCCATGCATGCACATAATCTGTTTCCTAAGCTAAACGCAGCCACCAGAGCGTCTGTGCAACAACAAGTGATGACTGGTTACTGGTTTATCAGTGTGGATGCTTCAGCAAGCAGGAGAATACGCTGCCACCCCATCACATGTGCATACTGCATGTCAAGTAAGGTACTGCATGTAAGCTCATCCAGGGAGACTTAAAGAAAGCAAACTGTGTCGTTTCTCTTCCATTTAACTACTTTGTAATCCAATACGCACCCCGTCTTAGTCTTTATAGTCAAGGGGAGCAGTAAGCATAATATTCTAAACATCAGGTTCTCACTGGCTCTCAGTGAACAAATCAAAACCAGCCTTGTTAACCTAATCAGATTTATTGATGAGCACTGCCCCGAGCATTGTCAAAGACTGTGGCTAAATAGTTTCATCTATTAAGACGGGGGACAGTTTCTTCCCACTAATATCAGAAACTAATTAACCATAGACGTGGCGCACTCGCTTTCTCTGCAACATTTTGTTTACACTAGCAGGGATGTCAACACAAATAAAGGCGGCTCATTGTCTCCTCCGCAGGTGCCGGGTTGCTACCTCATACGAACATCACTACAGTTTGCCCGCTTCCAAGCGATGGGACATAATCAGATAAATTTCAGTCTCACACTATCACAGAGGTTCATTTGAGAAATATTGTACATCTCTGCCCCAGGCCAGCTTTGTCTGTATTAATTAACAGTTATGAATGTTCCCCATAGCCAAAAAAGGACAAGACTTGTTCTATCAGCTATCTGTTATATGACAATGATGTACAGCTCCCAAGACATTAAAATGGAAAAGACAGAGAACCTGATTTTTTCTGCAGATTGGGGCTCATCTTCTGGTGTGAAAGTGACACGGATAATTAATCATTGGGATCCATTTGGAGGTGCAAGACCTTCTCTGTTCACAAAACCTGCTGTGAAGGCATTATTAATTATTAAATTAGCGGTAACAGGCTGTGCAGCAGGGATCACCAGTCAGATCTGGTTAGTTGTCTCTAGTTTAAGAGGCAGTCCTGGCAGTAAAAACAGAAGACAGTGCTGGGGCTGCTGCAGATCAAAGGGATGGCATGAATTCTTAAAATGAGTGGCATTTCCTTTTAAATTACACATGCGCGGCGTTAGTATCAACAGATTTGCATGTTTTTGACATCTGACGTAAAAATCTAACTTCTAATTTAATTGGTGGAACAAAGCTGAGGTAGTTTCTTTTAAGTCTCTATCTCATATAAAATACTTTTTTTTTTTGGTTGCTATTTTACTGACGTCACTGCAGGCAATCAAAGCAGCTGGATGCTGCTTTCTTCCCCCCTAACTTCTTCTGGTCTGAGATGGGACAGATGTGGATAAAAGCTTTATAGCATACACCAAATGGGCCATGTAATAAAAGTGAGCCATCACTCAGTCAAGTTTGATACACTGCAAGTTATTGGGCAATTTAGCCTGGCAACATGCCCAGAACTCAGTAACTAAGTGATGTGTCCAAAAATCAAAATGTTTTACAACCACAACATTTTACTCTAATAGAGGATTCTGCAGCAGCCAGATGTTTGTGCATGAAAGTATCCTGGCTCTGCTGAGTTTCCTGACGCCGGAATACTTTAATTCCCATTTGCCTGACTCGATCCCAGTTACAGACCTATTAGGAAGATTGCTATAATCATGTTTCACTCCTGCCATTGCTATCTGTACACCTCCATCATTGACAGGCACACAATTCAACACCAATTCAGCACTAATAAAAATCACTGGGACAACATCTTATCGATTGGGTTCTGGTTGCCTGGGGGCCCTTGACATGAAAGCATTTGAGAAAGGAACCTAGTATGTCAGATAACAGTACTGGGTTCCCAATGCCCTTGTAATTTGACTGGTGTGGATCAAACCCGTTTCTGTGGATTTCCCAAATCCCCCCCTCTAATTTAGCAGTGCAATAAAGAGGAGCAGGGATTGATGTGGAGAGAGAGAGAGAGAGAGAGGAGAGAGGAGAGAGGAGAGAGGGGGAAAAAAAACACCTTCCAGAGAACATGAAGGTAGCACTCAACATAATGATCAGCGCCTCATAAATTAATGCAAGGATCCAGACCCACAGAGAAAACCAAGCCACAGCCCACGTAGCATCGACAAACTGCTGTAGTGTGTGCGCTGCCTCACGTTGTGACTGGGAAAGCTTGTTTAATCTAGGTCTAGGACGGAGGAATATTGGATAAAAAAAAAAAAAAAAACGGGGAGAAAAAAAAAATGTCGAGCAAAGAAACGCTCCACCGTTGCTATATCGCTGAGCAATCGCTTTGAATGAGACAATCAGCCCAGATGTCAGTGATCAATCTGAACAAAGATTCGTCCCACGGAGAGGAAAAAAAAAAGACCCCCAACAACAAAAAAAAAACACAATCATTAGGTTAACTCACCTGCTTTTACAGAAGCTGAGACGCACTCCATCTCGAGATTTCCTCCATACCATGCCCGTCAAGTGTACGCCGTGGGGTTGTGTGTGGAATATTTCTCCCCCCGGTTTCGGTATCAAACACACAGATCTCCACTCTTATCTCCTGCTTCGCACAGTCTGTGTGCTTTGCGCATTCACGACGCCAAGGTCAGGAGCGCCAACGGTTTTAATGGAGCGCCCACCATAGAGATCTCTACGGCGCCCACTGCCAGCGCGTTACTAGGCAACCACCGGGATACGCCAGTGCATTAAATCCACCATCCAAAAAACCGACAGAATCCCAATTTAGAAACCATTAACTAACCACCTTAACCTCGGACAGCGCTCGTTTTTACGGTTTGTGCAAAAAAAAAAAAAAAAAA